ATAGTGTGCTTGCAATTTCAGTTTCTTCAGCAAGAATTAAAGATTGATGATGATGATATATGGAATCATTCCAATAAAATATTATAATAAGAGTGTGTGCATTAACAGATTTAACTCGTGTCTCCCTTCTCTCCAAATGTGAAGACCTTCCATGGGAAACTTTAAATAAATATTTGATGCACTTTAGAGTGTTAAATCTTGAGTTAAGTCTTGGTGATACGCAGCAACAAAAGATATTTAAAGGGAGGTCCGTGGTAAAGAAAAGGTTAAGAACCTCTGGTCTAGTCCATATGCACATTAAAGATAAAGAACAAGGAGACCTAATGTTCCCCATCCCTATCAAGAGTTAGTTTTCAGACAGTTGACTGAAAAGACACAGCAGTCACCATGTTTTTCACAACAACGAAAGGCATTATGTGTCTATTTATAGTACAGTAATTATTTCTAAATATGCATACATACAACTGTACACATGCAAATATTATGCAAATCTGTACCCTCTTTTGTTTTGGTTGTGGTGAGGTATTTCCATTTTGAGTGAGGTGCAAGTGGCTGTTGTTCTCCGTTCTTGTTGCTTTTTAACACATTAGCTAATGAAGAGAACACATTCCCGAAAGTGTTTTTACATCTCCCTCTACACCCCTTTAAAATCTTTCTGGTTGGCCTATAAAAGTATCTCCTCAATGTGTTTTCTGCCAACACAGCTATCATTGTTTTTGTTTTTGTCCTACTGCACACAATGAGAAAAGAGAACACACTCATACAGACTCGGTTATTCAGTCAAACATGGACATACTGGGTGGCCTTGAATAAATTCTCTCTTTTTCTGCTGAGTAGATGGACAAGATTAGAATTGTAAAGTCTTTTGTGTACCAGGAAATGCTATAGCAGTGCTTCTAACAAGTCAGAAGGACAGAGATCTGGGTTGGCCACACAGTGGCAGTCTTGCCTTTTTCCATTTCTTTTTTTGGAGGAGTAAGGCTCAACCAAGAGAGAGGGAGCGAGGAAGGGAGAGGGAGGGAGAGACTCTGACAATCTGGCCCTCCCCCATTCTGCCAAGGAAACTACTCTGATTAGTGCTTCAAGAGGCCAACTTCATTTCATCTTGGATGGCAAGCAGCAGTCAAGCATGAACCTAGATGATTACTCATTGTCTGTTTCTCACCGTGTCTATGAATGCTTCAGAGATCCAATGTTCACTCCTTTTCCTTTTCACCTAGACTCCTCTTTTGCTTCGTTTCTGCACAAAATAATTTCAGGCATCTGAAAACTGTGACAGGTGGAGCAAAGGTGAAGAAATTATCTGGAAAATGGGCCACATTTTTCTACACATGAGAGAGGGCTGGGTTGGAAAACTAGAAATATCTTATTTACTCTACAAAAGGAGATTTCCAGAAATAAGGAAGGAAGGAAGGAAGGAAGGAAGGAAGGAAGGAAGAATTGCTAATATTACTGTTTTTTTCCTGCCATATTAACACAAGGTATCCATGAATGGACACCAACCTCAGTGTTTGTAAAATTATAGTGGTCAACATTTCCTATGTCTTGGGGATGATGGAAGCTGTAGTCCAGCTCAGTTGGAGAACACCAGGTTGGAGACGGCTGTCCAAGTGTCAAAAAGCCCACTGAAGCACATAATAGTGCCTGAGAGGTTCAACGAAATGTGGTTTTTTCATTATTGTCTCCTTCTCCACCCCGAATGTGAGTACATGGTCTATTCTTGGTGTAAATGGCTTCTTATGATTCTTTGCACTACATTAGTGTCTCTGATCTCCAGCAATGTTTTGTGCAGATGCTGGATTAGAACTGTCATTTCACCTCAGACAAGTGTTCTAGTTCAGTGACCTGCATGTGTTATACCATGATGCCTAATACAAACAGCAGCTGTGCAGGAAGGCATTTTTGTCAGGACTGTGGCAGGGGCAGAGAGGATTAACCTCCCATTTCTTCACATTGTGGTTTCAATCCAGATCTCCTCTTCAACCTGACTATGGATCAGAAATTTGTTGTTTAGTTGTTAAGTCGCGTCCGACTCTTCATGACCCCATGGACCAGAGCACCCCAGGCCCTCCTGTCTTCCACTGCCTCCCAGAGTTAGGTCAAATTCATGTTGATCGCTTCGATGACACTGTCCAACCATCTCGTCCTCTGTCGTCCCCTTCTCCTCTTGCCTTCACACTTTCCCAACATCAGGGTCTTTTCCAGGGAGTCTTCTCATGAGATGGCCAAAGTATTGGAGCCTCAGCTTCCTACTTCACAGTAATAACTACCTACTTCACAGTAATTGTTTCTAGTCATCTCTAATTATCATCTGCAAATTATACAAATCACTACAGTATTTTGTTTCGTCCTCCTTTTGCTGTTACATAAAGTGGCCATTTTATTTAGAACAAAATTCAAGGCTGCTGTGAAACAATACCTTTCTTGACCTTAGCACAGATTTACAAAGAATTGCACAGAATCCGTACCATCTGGTTAACAAACTGAGTACATATCATGCATGGAGATACATAAACTTCACTAATGCATAAATATGAATAGCACAGATTTTTCTCTCATTGAAGGAGCTATTATATAGCAAAAGTACAGAATTCTTATCTGGAAGAACATTGTGGTCTTTACGATATCCTATGCACCTAGAAGTTTTGGTGGACCATTATGAATCTCCTATGGAATCCAAAAATTTCAGAAACTGTTCCGCTTAACATTTTTTCTTTCAAATCTGTGTCACTTCTCCTGCACATGTCATATTCATGGAGAAGAAGATTTTCATGCTTGTAGCCTTTCAGGAGTTGTTCTTAACTGTAACCTCCAGCTGCAAGCACTGTGTAGATGAAACCCAATTACAACCAGTTAGAATAAGGATGTGTGATGTATATGTGTTTGTGTGTGGTTTCTAGCTCTCATGAACCTCCACCAGATCTTATTTTCCCAGACACTGAAAGAATGCCTTCATAGAAGGTGACCAGCATGTGTTGGCTCCACCCTTCACTTATCTGCCTTAGTCAGCTTCCACATCTGACGTTCATGCATTTAGAAAGGAAGTCAAAGATGGAAATTTTGCACACTTGCCTGAATAGAAGTGAAAGAATGATAAAAAAAATGTACAGTATATCTTGAAGAGTGTAATGCCAAAAATACATACTTCTGATCTCATTGTACTGGGCCAATGAGAATTCTCTGGGCCAAAACATTTGTGAAGCAGACAATCAGAAATAGAACCCCCAAGTTGAAACAAGCAAACAAGCAACTTTAAAGAGGGGGAAGTGCAAACTGAGTCAGAGCAGGGGCATGAAGGGAAGAGAATCCAGTCTTCTTCCCTGGACTAGCTTTGCCATTACGCAGTGTGACATTAGGTAGAAGACTCACTGGAAAAGACCCTGATGTTGGGAAAGTGTGAAGGCAAGGGGAGAAGGGGATGACAGAGGATGAGACGGTTGGACAGCGTCATCGAAGCAACCAACATGACTCTGACCCAACTCCGGGAGGCAGTGGAAGACAGGAGGGCCTGGCGTGCTCTGGTCTATGGGGTCATGAAGAGTCGGACACAATTTAACGACTAAATAACAACAACAGTGTGACGTTGTTACCGCTAATGCAAGAGTTGGGAGGTAGCAGCAACAACGTGAACGAGAGAGTTTGTGTTGCACAGCCAGCCTTGTGTATGGTGGAAGATGCTGCCTCACTGTCCATGTTCACCTACTCAAACCAGTTGACTTTTTTACATGAAGCACAAAAGGACATCATCTTGTTGTCATCATCAGATGGGTTGGGTCAACCTTGCTTTCCCCACACTATTTTCCTGATCAAAACTGCCTCTCTGCCTACCCCCCCCCAAAAAAAACCCCCTCTAAAAGCCATGCAGGAGGGGCATGGGAGAAATACTCATCTTTTTTTATCTTAACCATGCTAAGAAACTTGGTGTATATGTTAAGTGTGCAATTTTAATCAAGAATAAACTGAAGAACAGGAATAGAAAATAGTATCAAACTCCAGGTGTCTTGAAGTTAAGCAACAGTAGTAGCAACAACAACAGCAAAGGATGAGAGATCTTTGAATAAATCTCATGGTGTCTTGGCTCACTGTCAAGTGAGGGAAAAATGTTCAACCCAATGCTCTGCCTCCCTACACAGGGAGTTAAAGAAGACAGCCCCTTTTGAGTGTCTCCTACAAAATACTTTTTCCATAATACATAAGCATGACAACCCACCATAAATCTGGATCTAAAGAGTGGGTGAGGCTTTCTAGCAAAATTGATCCCCTGCAGTTCTCATGTTCAAAAACATTGTTAGTAGTACTCCTTTGACTGAACCAGTAAGCAACCTGTACAGCTTGAACCCAAAACCCAGCCATGAGCAACACCTGAATGAAGAATTCGACCGACTGTAGCGTCCTGTGTAACCAAGAATCTTGCATCCTTCCATACCAGTAGTAACTGACCCAAAGGAAGGGAAGGGGAGTGAGTTATTTTTGCATTTCTTAGAGCAAATTTACACGGACAAAAACTTAAGCTTAATTGTTCCTTCCCTTGGGAATTGCAATTGTTCCTTCCCTTGGGAATTGTACCGCTCAGAGTGGTACTGACCTACCAGATGGGCGGGATACAAATCAAATAAATAAATAAAATAAATAAATTACTGACATTTTTGAGCACTGTTCCTGACATTTCCCCACAGAACCACCATCGCAGAGGCAAGACAATATGCAACCTTTCACGAATCTCCTCAGAAACAAGCCCCACAGTTTGCAGTGGAGCTTCCTCAAGGGGTAAATGTATGGAAGATTGTATATTCTAAGCCAGTTTAAACAAAACAAAACAAAACAGGTCTGGAACCCAGCAGATAAAACTTCATTCTCTGGGACTGAGAGATTGTTGTCTATGTGCCAAATGAATATTGTGGGAACAGTGTTGCTTGTGAAGACCACTCCCCTCTCCTCCCAAGATGGGCTTGTGAGGCGATTTCCCATACTTGGAGAAACCCTGTCTCTGAAGCAAAAGGCTCACATTTCGCCTGGTTGCCCCCTTGTACACCTGACAACTTTCAGACGGCCCTTCCTGAGTAGAAAGGGAAGGTGAACGAGAAAAGAGGTGGTGAGGAATCCAAGTGAGTATGGCTTCACCCTTGTGGGATTTTCATTTCCCCCCCACTCCCTCCTCCTTTTTTTCTTCTCCTTTTTTCCCTTCTTCCCACCTTCTACCCTTCAATTGACTGCCTTCTCTCTATCCCATCGTTTACTGCTTCTTGAGCCTCGCGCTGTGAAGGAAACGGGAGAAGGGTGGAAAGACACGTTTGAAAAGAGTTACGTTTGCAACTCTTCTTATTTTTTTTTCCTCCCTCTTTCCCAAATCTGCTCTGTGTGTGGGTTGCCAAGGGCTGTTTTCTCCCAGGGAATCCCATTCGCTTTCCAAGGACCTCAACAAGCAAACAGGAGATTACTGTGATGGCAAGGGGTTGTAGGAATTTTCCCCTTGTTGCTTTTATGTGTGTATGTGGGTTTTTGTTTTTTTTAATTGTAATAGTTTTGCTAGAGATCGTGCGTGTGCGAAAATTCTGCTCTAAGAAAGTTAAAAGAACTCTGAAAGGGGTGTGGAAAGGGGAGAGCGTTCTGCTTGCAAGCTTAAGGGATCGAGGACCTGAATGGTGTGTGTGTGTGTGTTTTAATTTTTTTTTTTTAACCTTACCTTCCTCACCGAAGGTAAGGAATCAAACAAAGGAAGATCTGAAAGGTGGTAATGATAGTGTGTAATACAGTATACAGTAGATGATTTCCGGCGTCGAGGGGAATTAGGTGGTATGTAAGTGTGTGCTTTGAAGTTTTAAAGGAAATTGAAAAAATGCATCAGTTTCTGTGTGTTGGAGAGGAGCTTGCCCTTATGGAGGTTCGTGGTGTGTTTTAATTGATGCAAAAGTGTAATTGGCATAAATCTATGTGGACGTGTAAAAGGTGGGTAAAATTTTACTCAGAGAAGAAAGACTGGCTGCTCGCGCTTCGGCATCCTTGGAGACGG